CCCCCCGCGCTTCCCCAGTGTTCACTAGAGCGCTGGACTGTGGAGGGGGAGGGGAGCGGCTGGCTCAGGCTTTCAGCATATCACTGAGAGGCTGAGCCAGGTGCCGCTCCAGACTCTGGGGTGGATCCCGACTCTGAAGTTGGGATCTTTCCCCAGCCTGGACCCACTAAGTGACGTCAGCTGTTAGCTGAAAATGGGTCAAAAGAGTCCAGAACAGGCTGCACTCCTGTGATCCACATTAGTACAGCCAAAAAAAGCTTTGGCAGTACTTCTCCTTTAATTTACAGGGATTTCCTCTCACTTCCTGTTTGGCTATGGCACAGGAAGTGAAGGGAAATCTCCAAAATGGGACAGAGATGGCAAAATAAAAAACCAAACAAAATCTGACAGGTTTCTCACCTCTTGCTCTATCCAAAATGAAAAAAAAAAAAAAGTTATGCCTTTAGTTCTACTTTAAATACATTTGTTTATAAGGTTTCATACATACGCGCAACAAAAGGGCAATGAAAACAGGCAGTTGAGCCCCAGTTTTACCCTTCTTCCCCCCAACTGCCTACCTAAAGAAAAGTACGCAGCTGGAGGGGGTCTTAAACATGCCACAGACAGCCAGCAGCACCTGTCAAATTCTCCCATTGAAGTTAATGGAATCATGTGGCAACTGCCAGCCAAATCCTTGGTTTGCACTGCGATATTACAAAATCTAGCATCAGCTGGTAAAAAAAATACCCCAAAAGTGACTGCGTCCGATTGTCTGCAGTCACTGTCCGGCCAACTTTTTTTCAGCCAAACTCCTTTGATTTCTCATTTGAAGTTGGTTAAGCCAGGTGGTGGCAGCAGGGCCATTGACAACTTGAATTACAAAATTTGAGCTGTGTATGGTCAGGTTTACAGAGCTGTCAGTGGGACCCACACTATAGTGGGTAGGTACAAGACCAGTCACCCTGTACAAGACAAAAACAGTCTTAGACTGGTCATAGATGTTTAGTTTTTTCTGTGTTCACCAAAAAAACAAGCAGATTCCTCCATCCACACAAGCAAGATGGATGGAGAAAGTCTCCACACCCTGAGGCATTGTATTGCGACTGCTGTCATAATACACTGATCAGCAGCTGCAGCTCCTGTTCAACAAGTATTTTCCAATATTTTGACAAAAGTCGATCGATTTGTCTAACAGAACAGCTACACATGGATCAAGATTTGGCCGATCTCTGCTAAACTGAGTGAATTTCGATCCATCTATGGCCAGCTTTACAAGAGGCTTTTGTCTAGAGAGGAAAAGTGTGGGAATTGTTCCATGAAGATCTGGAAAAAATAGAGAAAGGACACAAAGATTGAACATACTTGGCTCTTGTAAATGAAAACAAACAAGGGCGCACTCTCATCGTGTATTACCGTGGTATATTACGTAATTTATTAAATAGAAAAGGATGTATACTCACAAACCAACGTGATTATAGGCAGTATGAGTGATCCACAAAAACAGTCACAATACAACTGTGTCTAATGATGCGGATAACTGACGCGTTTCGGGGGCTGAACCCCCTTCCTCAGAGCTAGCCTCCTAGCTATAATCACGTTGGTTTGTGAGTATACATCCTTTTTTATTTAATAAATTACGTGGTATACCATGATAATGCACGATGAGAGTGCGCCCTTGTTTGTTTTCATTTACCAGTGGTCAGATTTCCCCAATCTCAGAAGGGCAGCACCTCTTCGATTGGCATTTTGGCAATTCCTTGGTTTGCATGAAGATTGGAGCACTGGTTTCGTTTGTCTATACTTGGCTCTTGTATTTGTTTGCCCAAATTTCAGCTTTGAATGATGTCATCCAAGCTCTATGTTCTTTGTGTATAAGAATATCTATACAACAATATCTGGACTGACCATTTGGAAACTCGGGCACTGTCAGAGGGCCTGGGGTCAGTAGGGGGCCCCATGATCCCCTATTGCCCGGGGGCCCCATGAGTAGTCAGTCCGCCCCTGGTCATACCTATTCACTGAGACAGTAGCTGTTAAACACCTCTCATCATATTTTATTCAATGACTAAACGGGAATGTGCATGTCACCCCCCATTCCCTTTGCATCTTATGAATGTCCTCAAGTTACTGCAGACTGAATGTCAACCGATTCCGAGTCACTACCTAATCGCTCAGAGCTGGCTCTAAAAACAAACCACAATAACTGCTTCCCCTTATTACTTTTGATAGCCGGTATTATAAGCTGAGAGCGCCATCAGGTGTGAAATCTACTGGATCAGCATATCGATAGATACACAGCCACAGTACACGAAGCAGGAAACATGTAGTCATGATCACACACTGCTGTGCCTAGATACTCGGTATCTTTATAGGCGAGCGTTGATCATCTGAGTCCCTGCACAAGTCCTTATCTAATTTCAGATGACCAGCAATCATTTTGCAGTATCCAAAATACAGCAAACCGCAATCTCCATCTGTAAAGATAGATAGGAGGGATCAATATCTGGCACGCCATGCTCCTGTTCAGCATTATGATATTCTTCATGCACAAAAAACATTTAAAGTACATTTCCCACAATCAAATTACCTTAAATGGCAAAGATCTCAATGTGCATTCCATGCAGTTTCTCAAGAATTTAAAGAGACCTTGTCCAGCAATCCCCTGCAATAGCAGATGGACTATATTCACCTCTCTGGTGGCCCATTTCTCCTACCGCTCTTCTGTTGTAGCGCCGTAGCCCTGGAAAGCCTCTCCTTGGTGTCAGATGCCTGCACCCCCATCACATTCTTATTTCTTTCTCTGATCCGCTACATCTCTGCAGAACTTAGTAGTGACATGGGGATCAGAGGAAGGAACTATCATGCAGCAGGGGACACGTGTCCAACACTTGAAGAACTGCTGAAGGCCAAATATGCTTTGGAACAGAGGATAAGTTATAACAAATAAGTCACCAGAGTATATGCTGTCTTCTTCTGCAGGGGATTGTTGGGTTTAAATATTTAGAGCAGCCTTTCCCAACCTTTTCAACACAAAGGAACCCTTGAAATAACGTTTTGGTCTCAGAGAATCCCTGATAAAAATACTGTATCATGATACATTAGTGTGATAGTCAGTGGGAAGAATGCTCCTTACACTTGGCATCATTAGGAAGCATTACCCCCTTACAGATAGCTAAAAAAAAGATCAATGGTGTCAGTTGGAACTGATCTGAGAGGAAGAAATTGCTCACTGCTCAAGAAAACCCTAGCATTTTCTAAAGCAGCCTTACTCAACCAGAGGAACCCTTGAAATACAGTCTCAGGAAACCCCTGCTAAAAATGACTATACCTAAAACTCATGATGTATTAGTGTGATGGTCAGTGGGAAGAATGCTCCTTACACTTGTGGTCACTGGAAAGAATCCCTTCTTGTAGATAGCTAAAGAGATCAATGGTGTAATTTGGAACTTATCTGAGAGGCAGAAATTTCCCAAGGAATCCCTAGCAACCTCTGGAGGAACCCTGGGTGAGAGGCCCTGCTCTAGAGGAACTCTGGTTGAGAAGGACTGCTCTAGAGGAACCTTGGTTGAGAAGGCCTGCTCTAGAGGAACCTTGGTTGAGAAGGCCTGCTCTAGAGGAACCCTGGTTGAGAAGGCCTGCTCTAGAGGAACCCTGGTTGAGAAGGCCTGCTCTAGAGGAACACTGCTTGAGAGGGACTGCTCTAGATGAACACTGCTTGAGAAGGCCTGCTCAAGAGGAACACTGCTTGAGAAGGCCTGCTCAAGAGGAACCCTGCTTGAGAAACCCTGCTCTAGAGGAACCCTGCTTGAGAAACCCTGCTCTAGAAGAACCCTGGTTGAGAAACCCTGCTCTAGGGGAACCCTGGTTGAGAAATCAAGATTTAGAGGCCTGATAGGATCTCTTTAAGGCCTAACACAAGCCAGATTTTTTTTTTTTTTTTTAATTTGAAAAGGGGAACGACATGGGTTTTTACTGCAGTCTAAACTTCCATTTGCAGAGAGATTTTCCCTCACTTCCTGTATATTTCCCAGCTGTCAGACAGAACAAGAAGTGAGAGCAATTTTCCCCAACAGGGATACAGACAACAGTAAAAATGTGTTTTTTATTAGAAGTGTGAATAGGCTAGAACCACTCTAAGGGTTTTGTTGTCTGTGTACTTGTTGGGAGATTTTCCTTCTCTTCCAGTGATGGTGATGGGTAATCCCCTAATGTTGTTTCTCACTACCTGAAAGAACAGTAAGTGAGGGAATTTCTCCACAAAACAGGCAGGCACCTCTCAGTAACTGAAAAAAAGTTTTAGCTTTAACAGAAAGTGTGATTTGGGCATAAAAATCATGTTGCATTTCTTAAAGTGCTACTAAAGCCAGGACCCTGCATTGACTATATCTGGTCGCCCACAGTACACAGAACATGGAAATGCAATTATATTAGTAAATATAAACTGCTAAATACCTTTTCTCATCAGCAGTTTGAGCAGTCTTGTGACTTCTATCAGTGTCCAGCAGAGCACTGGTTAAAGCTTGTAGGAGTTTTCACTCTCTAGTATGAGGCTGCACGACCCCTGACCTTCTGTTTGGACAGTGCTGATTGGCCCTGTGCTGATCACATGCACTCTCCCAAGAAAAAAAAAAACTCTCTAGCAATACACACCAAACTAAGCATGTGCAGAGCAACTCCAATCCTCTGTTGTATCAGGAGATATATTGGGGACAATAGAAAAAGGGGAGGATCAGAGAAGACAGGATCAAAGAGCCCTTTTGGGCTTTTTGAAAAAAAAAAAACAAACAATATTTTTGACTTTTTGCTATTAAACGTCCAGTAAAAAAATTAGAAAAATCAAATTTCATCATAAATTTAGGCCAAAATGTATTCTGCGACACGTCTTTGCTACAAAAAAAAAAATCCCAATACGTGGAAATTAATTGGTTTACGTGAAAGTTATAGCATTTACAAAAGGCTGTATATATACTGGGATTTTTTTTTTTTAATCTTTTACTAGCAATGGCGGCAATCAGCGACTCACAGCAGGACTGCAGCGAGCATTCTGACACTGGGGGGAACTGACTTTGTATCACTGAGATACCCAGTGACACCAATAGAGTGATCTGTGCTAATAAAATGCACTGACACTGTACCAATGGCACTGAGCAGGAAGGGGTTAACATCTAGGGCGATCAAAGGGTTAACTGTGTGCTGTGTGTGTGTGCTTCATTGTAAGCACACTGCACATACAAAGCAAGAGCTGACAGGGGAGAGAACTGTTGTTTACAAACAGTTCTCACCCCCTCTTCCCGTCAGAGATGCTCAGCAATCACCGGGCGCCGGTGAGTAATCACTGGCTCGTACACGGTAATTGACAGCAGAGGCCACGATTGGCGGTGCAGGTAGGGTGAGCACATGCCCCCTACCCGGAAATGCAAAATCACGTGTATACACGTGATTTTGCGCACCCGTGCCGCCCTGTAACGGTACTTCTGCTATAGGGAGGACGGGAAGCGGTTAATGGGCAAATCCACAACCATGCAAGGCTTTGTACCCCAACTACTATTTGCTCAAAGAGCCTCAACTGTGTCTGAGAGCCTCACAAACAGAAATGTTAAGATCCAGCTGGATCAGAAGACAGCCATGTAATGTTCATGGGTTTCTTTAGGGTTTGTGTGGATGGGTATCGTTTTCCGTGCTTTTGAAGCGCACAACACAGGTCAGCAGATTTCCTTCAATGGTGTAGTTAAGATGGCAGTTCTGAGGCTGGTTTTGACCAGCTTTGCATTTCTTTTGACTTCGGAAGTTCTATTAACATGGGTTTGCACTGCATTCAAAAGCAAAGGGCAATGGTTGACAAAAAACTTGTCTTCACAAACGTTCACCATTATAAAAGGTTTGCTGCCATCTGCTACAAAAGTAAGAGAATAGGAGACTAACCAGATTCTTAGTAAAGAGTTCTGGAGATGTGGATATATACAGCTGAACCAAGTAGTTTACACCCTTCTACTTACTATATGAAAAACCTGGCAGACAACCCAGACTATTAATATTGTTATATAAAGTATAGATATTTCTTCATTGCTGGAATAAGTACTCTCTACACACACATGCACAGTCACTGCACTGATGAGCCGCTTCCAAATGCATGCCTACAATCCATATCTGCTATACCAGGGGTCTCCAAGCTTTCTAAAGAAAAGACCAGTTTACTGTCCTTCAGACTTTAGAGGGGCCGCACTGTGCCCAGTGGGAGTAAACGGTGCCCAAGTTTTGCGGGGGAATAAGTAGGTGTCAGTGAGAGAATACTGCCCCATTTGTGTTGTCGGTGGAAGGAATTATGCCCCATTGTTGGTGTCAGGAATAATGCCTCATGGGCCGGATAAAGGCAAGCAAAGGGCCCCAAGGCCGCAGTTTGGAGACCACTGTGTTATACTGTGCAAGTCTCCCTGTCTTTTCAGATGAACAGAACATCAGTTTATGGCCATGATTAATCAAGCACCTAAGGCATGCTATAGTGATCTCTAAGTGATTTTATCCGATTAGAAATTCTGTATATAGTATAAGGTGCACAGTCCACATGTGCTTTTCTGCCTCATTGCAACAAGGAAACAGGAAACGTTATTCAGAGAAAATAGACTATAGCATAGATGCAGCTACCAACTTATAAACACTGCCATCTACTGGTTTGAAGAATATATTTCTACTGAATACTGATGTAGTATACTGATGAAGTATACATGAATGAACACTGTATTCACGCCTTAAAAGTCTTATCACAGCTTGATAAATTTGGGCCTTGAAGCTGAATCTTGTAATCTCAGAAACTGTCACAATAAACATTACTTTCTGATAAACACTATGGAGAGTTACTAAAACTGGGGCACTCAGAATCTGGTGCAGCTGTGCATGGTAGCCAATCAGATTCTGACGTCAGCTTGTTCAGGTAAGCTTTGACAATAAAACCTGGAAGCTGACTGGTTTCTATGCAAAGCTGCATCAGATTTTGAACTCTCCAGTTTTAATAAATACCCCCCAATAGCAGCACTACGGTCGTTGGTTCGAATCCCAACCACGGCACTACCTTCCTGGAGTTTTAGTAAATACCCCCCAATAGCAGCACTACGGTTGTTGGTTCGAATCCCAACCATGGCACTACCTGCCTGGAGTTTTAGCAAATAACCCCCAATAGTAGCACTACGGTTGTTGGTTCGAATCCCAACCACGGCACTACCTCCCTGGAGTTTTAGTAAATAACACCCAATAGCAGCACTACGGTCGTTGGTTCAAATCCCAACCACGGCACTACCTGCCTGGAGTTTTAGTAAATAACCCCCAATAGCAGCACTACGGTCGTTGGTTCGAATCCCAACCACGGCACTACCTGCCTGGAGTTTTAGTAAATAACCCCCAATAGCAGCACTATGGTCGTTGGTTTGAATCCCAACCACGGCACTACCTGTCTGGTGTTTTAGTAAATAACCCCCAATAGCAGCACTACAGTCGTTGGTTCGAATCCCAACCACGGCACTACCTTCCTTGAGTTTTAGTAAATACCTCCCAATAGCAGCACTACGGTCGTTGGTTCGAATTCCAACCACGGCACTACCTGCCTGGAGTTTTAGTAAATAACCCCCATTAGCAGCACTATGGTCGTTGGTTCGAATTTCAACCACGGCACTACCTGCCTGGAGTTTGTCCCTGTGCCTGCATGGGTTTCCTCCAGTTTCCTTCCACACTCCAAAGCCATGCTAAATTGGCCCTAGTATGTGTATGTATCAATGTTACATAGTTAGTCTGGATGAAAAAAAGACAAAAGTCCATCCAATTCAACCATTAAGAAAAAAAAAGTTATAATCCTACACCCACAATTGATCCACAGGAAAGCAAAAAAAACCCAACAAAGCATGATCCAATTAGCTCCTGCAGGGGAAAAAATTCCTTCCTGATCCCGAGAGGCAATCGAATATTCTCTGTATCAACTTTACCTGTAAATGTTAGTATCCAGTTATATTCTGTGTATCTAGGAAGGAATCCAGGACTTATTTAAAGCAATCCACTGAGCTGTCCAGAACCAAATCTTGAGGGAGTCTATTCCACATTATCACAGCTCTGACTGTGAAGAATCCTTTCCTTGTATGGAGACCCTGGACTGTCAGCTCCTTGAGGGTTAGGGGCTGATGTGAATGTATAATATATATGTAAAGCACTGCTATACAAGTACCTGTACCTGTGATAAATAATAGTAACGCAAGCCAAGTGATCACTGAGCATACATTTGTTCCCCTACATACCATTGAGGTCGAAGGATTTCAGTGTCTGTGAACAGTATGTATAGTTCACTCTTGAGCTCATATGTCCCAATTCTCTGATCACAGACACATTACAAGTGAATCGGGCTGCCCCAACGCACACTAGCAAACTCTTCTTCGTAAGAGAAAGTACAAATATTATATTTACAGAGCCGCATGTCACTACCAAAGTAAACTTGCTTACAGTCTGCAAATGGCCATCTCTATATATAGAATGCAAAGTCTGGTAAACAGCTTATGTCATGGACAATGAATGTGTGATGACTAATTCTGGGCCCACAAAGAAAGACAGGTAACCGCAGAAAGAGCAAGTGATAGCAAGAGATAGGACAGGAGACAGTGACAAAAAGGGGATACCCACCACCGTGTAATATGCAGGTTCTACTCCTACACAGGGCAGGCCGAGAACCCACCACAGTCCCCTGTACCAGGGAAACACCTACAATGATCATATCCAATCATAATCAAGCTAGTTGGACTATTCAAGTCCTAAACTACTAATGGTCTGAGTAGTCATTTTACAACACCAACATGTGGAATTAGGAAAGGGACAATCCCGCTAAATGGCGACATTGGCTACCGGAAGGTCATTGATAGGGACAGGTCAGGGATTTTAAAGTGCAGCTCCACTCAAAAGGGGAAGTTCCGCATTAAAGATTGGTCCCCCATTCCCCATTAAGGATTGGCACCTTTGGGGAGCAGGGGGGAGAACGGGTACCCGAATTTGACAGGTACCCGCTCCCACTTCCGCTGTAAACGCTAGGCCAGTGTTTCTCAACTTTTTTCAGTCAAGGCACCCTTTAAAATTATGGACGGTCTTGAGGCACCCTTTAAAATTATGGACGGTCTTGAGGCACCCTTTAAAATTATGGACGGTCCCGAGGCACCCTTTAAAATTATGGACGGTCCCGAGGCACCCTTTAAAATTATGGACGGTCCCGAGGCACCCTTTAAAATTATGGACGGTCCCGAGGCACCCTTTAAAATTATGGACGGTCCCGAGGCACCCTTTAAAATTATGGACGGTCCCGAGGCACCCTTTAAAATTATGGACGGTCCCGAGGCACCCTTTAAAATTATGGACGGTCCCGAGGCACCCTTTAAAATTATGGACGGTCCCGAGGCACCCTTTAAAATTATGGACGGTCCCGAGGCACCCTTTAAAATTATGGACGGTCCCGAGGCACCCTTTAAAATTATGGACGGTCCCGAGGCACCCTTTAAAATTATGGACGGTCCCGAGGCACCCTTTAAAATTATGGACGGTCCCGAGGCACCCTTTAAAATTATGGACGGTCCCGAGGCACCCTTTAAAATTATGGACGGTCCCGAGGCACCCTTTAAAATTATGGACGGTCCCGAGGCACCCTTTAAAATTATGGACGGTCCCGAGGCACCCTTTAAAATTATGGACGGTCCCGAGGCACCCTTTAAAATTATGGACGGTCCCGAGGCACCCTTTAAAATTATGGACAGTCTTGAGGCACCCTTTAGAATTATGGACAGTCCCGAGGGGCACTTTAAAATTATGGACAGTCTTGAGGCACCCTTCGTAATTTTAAAGGGTGCCTCAAGACCATTCATAATTTTAAAGGGTGCCTCAAGACTGTCCATAATTTTAAAGGGTGCCTCAAGACCATTCATAATTTTAAAGGGTGCCTCAAGACCGTTCATAATTTTAAACGGTCTTGAGGCACCCTTTAAAATTATAGACGATCTTGAGGCACCCTTTAAAATTATGGACAGTCCCGAGGCACCCTTTAAAATTATGGACGGTCTTGAGGCACCCCATTTTAAAATGTGAAAAACTATTCTAATAGTTTTATACAATGCAGCAACATCCACACATGTAGGACACCCAACATTAGAGGCGATTTATTCTTCCAAAGCAAATACACCTTTTCACACTGGTACTGACTAGTATTTCAGTGTTTCTCCTCTCCCCCAGTTTTTCTCCATCAACGAGCTAATGCGACCCCAACACTGATGGAGAAGGTCAAGGGGGGGGGGTCAAACTAGGATGCTGTGCAGGCAGCTGACATCCTCCTTAACTAACTACTGATGATGTCATTGGTTGTCAGGATGCTGGAGGCTAGAAGGTCGTTATGGTGCACAATGAAAACCTGTGGCT